GGTCAGCTGGTAGAACCAGAATGGTATTTGCCAATTCTGCCAATGATCCTTGTTAATGGATCCGAGGGTATCGGAACCGGTGAGTTTATTTAAAAACCTGAATATTAATTATTTTGCAAGACGTATAATAATAATCGTGATTTATCTTATAATTATTAGGTTGGAGTTCATTTATTACAAATTACAATCCTCGCGATATCGTTAACAATTTAAAACGATTAATTAACAATGAAAAGGCAATTCCAATGCATCCCAGGTATCGTGGATTCCAGGTAACGTTATTAATAATCATTTAACAGAATCCCCTAACGGACTTTTGAATTCTCCAAATACAGTATTAAATTATATTACACATAATTTATAGGGTGATATTGAGCAAGTAAGCAATGACAGATACAAGATCAATGACAAGATCCACCAAGTTAACAATGCGTCCGTCCGAATTACTGAATTACCAATTCGTGTATGGACTCAACTACAAAGAAACGCTTGAACTGTGGATATCCGGAACAGATAAAGTGCCAAGCTGGATCCTCGTACGTAAACATTTATGTAGCTAATATGCCTTAGATTCTATTAAATTATTTTTATAAATACTAGGAGTACAAAGAAGATCATACAACAACCACCGTAGAATTTACGGTAAAACTATCGCAAACAAGTCTTAGAGATTCTTTAGAAGAAGAAGGATTTGAGAAACGATTCAAGATGAGCACGACCATCGGAACGTCGAACATGGTGTGTTTCGATGGCAAGGGTCGTATTCGAAAATATAATTCTTCCGAAGAAATTCTTCAGGAATTTTACACATACAGGCTCGAATACTATGAGAAGAGGAAGGTTCGTATTTATATTATTATCATCATCATCATCTTAGTATTAATTTAATTTGTGGTATATGATTCTAAATTTATAATTCTCATAAACTTTTAGGCTCATATGATAAATATACTTGAAGCCGAAGTTATCATGAACAAGAATAAAACCAGATTTATTAAAATGAGGGCTGATAATAGTCTTAAATTTGAAGGCCTTTCGCGTATTGAGGCTATTTAATTATTAGAGTCCAATGTTTTGAAAGATTTACGGACGATAAAGATAACGATAAAGACGATAATGACGATAAGGATGCAACTGATATTGACTTTGACGTTTCTCTTAATAATCATGGATATGATTATATGATGGATTTTTCAGTGTGGAAACTTGGTAAAGAAAACGTAAGTTTTCTGATATCAAAATACTGTGAATTAAGAATATCTTGATGATCGTATGTTTTTGTTCGTATTAGGAGCAAAAAATCTTGAAGATGAAAGCCGTGAAAGAAAAAGAACTTAGAGATCTTAGAAGGAAAACACCTCAACAGTTGTGGATAGAAGATTTAGATTGTTTTATTGAATCTTGGGATGTAAGTTGTGAATTTATATATATCTTAAAATAGTAAATAATCATAATAATAAAATAAATTTTTTTTTTTTTTTTTTTTTTTATTGCTATTAAATATATACAGAATATTCTAAGCCAAAAACAATTTATAACAATGGAAGTCCAAGTGAAACCTGCTGAAACTATTGAAATTTCGCCGAAATCAAAGAAACGATCATTATCTATTGATGAATCATCTGACGACAAAGTGGGAAAGAAACGACCATTACTCATTGAATCGGTTGATAACGCGAGAGAAAGAGAAGATAGAACCTTGATAAAAGGAAGAAACGAGGTAAAGGAAAAACAATAAGGTGAAAAATCATGTGAAAAAGAATGTTATATCTACGCCCGTTATTGTTGACGACGATGAGTATGTGGAGTCTGAGGTGGTCTCAGAGAGACCTAACAAACGTCCTCGTCAATCAACTGCAAAGCAAATAAATTATGTGGAATTATCTGATGGAAAAAAAACTTAGTTATTTTATAAAGTAATATAATCTTTTAAATATTCTCTGTAATTATTGAATCGCAAAAGTATTAATTGCCGAATTTTTTTCCTTTTCTTAAAAGGTATGATCTTGAGGTGAAGATTTTCACACGAGAAATTATCACTAAGAAAATTTCGTGTCCGATTCATATAGAAATCGAAAAAAATTTATTTAAAAGCAAACTTTCAATATTGCTCTTTTACAATATAAGAGATTATTCGTGATATTTTTTAAATTGCAAAGAACCATAATAGGTTCACAGTCCATATCATCACGTCAGGAAAAAACTTTTTCAAAATTTCACCCGTTTTTTGATTCGTATCATTGTTAGTCCCACTCAATAATTGAGTCGATGCTGATTGGCTTTGGCAATTGCTGGATTAAGATCCCCGTTCCCGACCTAGGCTTGAATGCATATCTTGAATGTTTGACAGGTTATGCCGAATATATTGTTTAAAGTATGTTATGGAACTAACTGGAATAGTTAATTGACCGACTGTCCCAAAAAAATTTTTTTTTTTTGCGTTATTAGTTTTTTTTTGGTTTAAATGGCTTAATTTTTTTTTTCGCTCTAATTTTTTTTCGTTTCTAATAATTTTTTTTTATTTTAATAGTTTTTTCGCTTTTTCTTCGTTTTTAATAGTTAATTTTTTGATTTCTTCTTGTTCTTAATATAATTTTTGTTTATAATTTAAAAAATAGAAAACTTGTCATAATTTTATTGAAATTAATCAATATTGCAAATATAAAAGTTTCTTTTTCATTGTAAACTAGTAATGAAGTAATATTTTAGCAAATAAAAATGTTATATGTTACGCTAAATAATGTTATCTATTCAGTTAATTTTTAAATATATTTTTACTTAAATGATGATCCTTTTTACTTGACCTGAGGTTCCAAAATTTCCTTTCCTTTACTGATAGTAGCAGATAGTTTTCGCTTTCCACCACCAGATGTCTCTGATTTTCGTCTTTTAATTGATTCAACTTGAACACGAATCATGGATCCACTCTTAACACGAGCTATTGGATCTAAATCACGATTAAGATCATAAAGAAAAGAGCACAACCTTGGTATAAATTTAGATTAGCAGCATTATAATGCTCTGCAAACTTATCTAGTGCAGTGCGTAATTGTGAACCACTATTTTGATAATCTGCTTTAATTTCTTCTAAGATATAATTAAATGCAAATTTATCAATACCTTCATTCTCTTTATTTTCTTCATCTGGCTCTCTATAATAAAAAATCATACAATTAAATGTATTAAGTAATGAATTACAAATCATTTAAATTCACATATCTAAGTTACAAACCTCCACTCGGTATTATTCCACTCAGTATTATTATTAGTAAAAAAGCCATTAGGAATTATAAGTTCTTGATTTTGCTCAGTGGATTCTGCTCGTAATGATGCATAAAAAGAATCATTTTCAGCGACATAACCTAAAAATAAAAAGCAATGAATAAATATAATTCAGAAAGAGTAAATATTATTACAAAAATTAGATTATCTACCAAGTGCAATATAGCCATATATCATCATACGTTCACGGCAAAATTTCTGGTAAATCTGAAATTCTATTTTTAACCTTGCTTTCACGACTAGTTAGATCGCATTGTGTCAAATTTATTTTGACTGTTGGACAGTCATTTTGATTGACAGCTGTGCCACATCTCGCCATAACCTGTCACACATTCAATATTTTTCTTTAAAATAGTCCAGACATTTTCAATCGGATTAAGATCCGGACTATACGAAGGCCATGGAAGAACCCGACCCGGAAGGTGAGTTTCCAAGTCTCTTTGAACATCATGGGACTTGTGTTTTGGGTCATTATCTTGCTGAAAAATCCAGCGATGACCCAATAATTCATTTGCATTATTATAGAGATGATTGTCAAGAATTTGGCAACGGTCAAATAAAAATGTGACATCTCCACCGCCATTACTTTCGGCGCGGACTGTAAAATTTTCAATATAATGAATCAATAAAAAATATAGTTTTATAAAAACTTTATATAAAAACTATAAAACAAATTAATTAGATGATAATTATCTTCGCTAAATTACAACAAAGTAATTTTAAAAATGGTTAGGCTAATTTACGATAAATGAAAATAGTACTAAAATCGCTTTGTAAATGAAATAAATTGAAACATTCATCCATTTACATCCGCAAAAAAAAAAAAAATCTCGTATAAAAAATTTGCTAAAAATAAAACCTGGCAATTATTAAATGTAACGTTACAATTGACCGTAATTTTCTAAACTATGAAGTTATCAAAATTTTCAAAATTAGCTAATACTACAAATGGGAATAGTTTATGTGGATCAACCAACAATAATTAATATTGTAAACTGTTAAAACAGCACAAAGTTAATTATTTGAAATCATAAATTCTTAATTTGAATAATCAATCGGAATGAAAATTGGCCAATTTCGTTAGTTGTAAGGTATACAAATGAAAAATTTTATTTTCTATTCACTTTCAAATAAGTAAAGAAATAAATAACACGCGTGTAATTCGTTATGATTAAATTTTGACCATTTTTGTTTATTTCGGAATCAAATTTTTTGAAAGTTCTTTTTTGTCTTATAAATACGAATAATAGTAATAATAATATATCCTTTTATTTCAATGACTTTATTTGTTGATGATAAGTATTTAAATGGCCTTTAAAAATGCGTGTTGAAAGTTGATTTCTTTTGTATGAATGAGCTCATGATTTTAAAAAAAAAGAAATCCTTATAATGCCAAATATCGTCAAGGCATCGCACCTCATGATGGAGTGTTATCGTGAATATAACCTATCTATCTAACACAAAAAAAAAATATTTTAGTCGCTCATTACAAGTGCTAAAGATAATAATGTTCAAACTTCAATATTCTGCAACAACATAGCCATAAACCATACCCTAATGAAAAATTTTTTAATTTAAACATCTAATGGAATTTATTCTTTATGCGGAAAATTCGTTATTCCTCATAAGAAATTATTAATATGAAAATTATTAATATTATATTAATTTTATGTTCTGTCATTTTTTTTTCTTTCATTTCCTTTCCTTTCCTTTTTTTTTTTTTTTTATCTTTTACTACTGCGTGATAACACATATTTAACCATTTTTCGTTTAATTTCTCATTTTATTTATTTTTTTTTTTGAATTACAGAATTTTGTACGTGCTATTATTAAATCGTTTTACCCCGCCTTTCTTCTTTTAATCGTTAATTAAATTTTAGTCTATCCGCTTCTCGAATTTTTAATTTTAGTTTTATTTATATGGAATATAAATTAAATAAGTAAAAAAAGTAATGTTAACTTTAAGTTTGAAAGTTTTAGATACCTTATATGATTTATGCATTTATTTTGATAAATTTAATCTCGATTCTTAATCAGCAGCTTTGATTTTAAAATCACGTTAGAATCTGATATATAATGTCTCGTGACACAATATCTGAATATTTGGAAAAAAAATTTACGTGAAAACAATGATTATTTTATTAATTAAACCAGCAACAGAGTTTTCTGCGGTAAAATTAAATTAATTTTTATTGTCCGATAGAAATTCATAATTTAACGATTATTAACGAATGTATGAATGACTCACAACATACTTTTGAGCGTTAACGTTGATTCAAACGCATTGAATTATAAAAATATGTTTTTATTGACGCCATCCCACTAAATAAAAATTAAATCAGGTGTGATCCTTAAGCAACTTTGTCTGACCAAAATAAGAGCAATTAATTTATATAATTGAGATAATATTCATAATTTTTAATAACCGGCATGAACTTTGGTCTGTTTAGCATTACTCCCTTCAGATAAAAAATGACCAAATTGATAATTTGATTCTACATTTACTATAATTTGCATAACAAATCGTCACTATTTATAAATAATTTATCTAATGAGATGGAAATTAAATCTATTACTTTTTTCAAATGTTCTCTCGGCTATTATTGGAAGGAAGATTTCCTCTTTGTTTGTTAACATATCAGTCGAAATGTCCAAATTATTAACCCAATGCTGTTCCATTACGCTATCGTTTTAATAAAATTAGGATAATTAAATGACAGTTTTTAAAGGTGGATTGAATATAATCCCCATCACGTGGTTTTGTCTTCCTTTTCATAAGAAAAATGTACATATTAAGGAATTTATAAAGATACTCTTCATGACATGTACAGTAACAGGACTTCCGAAAATATTTTATAAAGAGAGATTCTAGTTCTGGCAAATATTCCACTGCCATGATTATGATGTACGTGGTTGCCACTTAAATATGATTTTTGTGATTAATGAAAGTTATCTGTTATTCGTATAACATATGTACCACATGTATAAATTTAAAAATTAAAAATAAAAAAAAAATTCGCATCAGCGGATCTAATTATAAGTATAATTATACAGCCACATGTTAATTTCAACAGCAAAAGTTTAATTATCTGAACCAGACAATTATAACGTAACTTCACCGACCATAACTCCACAGTTACTATAGTAATGCACTAATTGGTTGATTTACCACAAATTGGCAAAATATCCAATCAATGCATTATTTACCGTGAACTGAGAATAAAGTCTTATTTTATTATTTTCTAGTTATAAAATAAATCATTTTAATTAACGTCATAATCGCGGCGCAGTAAATGAATTATCGCCCAATTTATAATTATTAATAATTACAATTTTTTTAATTTTGTTCGATTAAGTTCAACTTTGGCAAATTGACGCATCTTAACATTTTGAAATATTATTTGTTATCAGATATTTCAGGTATTAATTATTTTATTAAATTACTATTTGTGTAATAATAATTAATTTAAGACCCGAAGTTTTATCCATGTAAAATTTCATACATCTTATCATAACGTGATCATTGATTTATTTAATAAGAATGAGTGTTTTTATGACACGAAATAAATAAAGATATGAAATTACTTTGAACGAATTTCTCGATATATTTGATTTTGATTCAAAATAATAAAACTATTTTTTTTTGATTTTGTGTCAAAACATATCAAATGAATATTTTTTAAAATAATTACTCTAATGTTTGACTCTATGCCTTAAATTGCTACTAATAATTAAGAATTGAATTCAAAAAAAAAAATATGTATATATTTCCAAAATTGATCCATTATAATAATAATAATAATAACCCCCCTAATTTACATTTGATCTGTTAACTATCCTTAGAATTTAACGAAAATTTTCTTGATTTAATAAATGAAAAATTTTTCAAACTGAAAAAATAAAATCTTCTTTATGATGATCTACCGTATTAATTGTATCAATACGTTTGATACTGAGTATAAAATTTCGGATTGGCCTTTCTAATCCAGATTACCCTGACGTAACACCATCGAATCTTGGTGACGTAAACCAAAGATTATAAAAAATTTTTCGTCACAATGGCTTATATCTATCGCGGAAAGCTTCTATACTTCGAGAAACGTCTTGGTCAATTTATAACGCATCTATTGATTACCTACACAACGAAACTTACCCGACATCTCATAATCTTTCATCCAGAATGTTAATTGAATCACTCAACCGAGAATTATCACATTAATTGTGGGAAGCCTTCTACAAGTTAACGTTCACTCACACCAGACAAAATCCTATTTGTACCTTAAACAAGAGAAAGAAAGTACTTGCTCCCTAGGACGATCTTAACATAAACTTTACACGGTTTAACTGGAATCATGGGTTATTCTCGTAACATTCGAGCGCATTCCTTATACTTTGAAACCTTTGGCGCCTCAAAGGTGAAGATATCGATCACCATTATTCAAACTCCCTCAAGCGTGTTGCCGCTTGGTTGACCAAAAACAATTCCTTTCGCTAACATGATATTGTACTATGAACGATATTAACAACATAACTGACACTTTTCCAAGTCGAATTGTGAACACTCAAGAATTGATGGTTCCGAACACTGACTTGTAATATTTCATCAAATGACGCCATATCACACAATATTTCATGTGATTTGTTTGTAATAAATCTTTTGTACACGTCATTTGGATTCATAGATACTCTTTTGAAGTGTAATATTCATATCATGCTCCTATAACAAGCCGAGCCCAACCTAAAAATGACTGAAAAGCGGTATCTATTTTGAATGGAGATGGCGGATGATGTGTCCAAGGCTTTATGCAAGTGTCTTGAATCAGTCCAATGAAAATAAAGGCACCCGAACGGACGTACATCTGATGAACTACGATCCAAGATGAAGATTCCACCATATTGGGCATCGTTGTCCTATTTACAGCTCGAAAAATTGTGGCACTATCAAAACATTCAAAGAGGCCAAAATATGAAATCGATCTTCAAGATATAACATCGACACGTTATCTTGATATTTTCCAAAAAAAAAAAAAAAAAGAACTTTTCCTTCATCTGAGTATTTCTAGTAATTCCCTTTAGAGGTAAGTGTCAGAATTTAATTAGTCTCTGTTGAATCCCAAAGATTCTAATGAATTTATTTTCAAGATCAATAATATTTTTTGGACTTTTGGTAAAGTTTTGTATCTCGACATACTATTCATTGTTTAATTATTTCGGCTTGGCTACCTTGAATCCACAACGGATGACTTCAACGTTTGATGTTCAGCAGATCAATAGTTACCGAACCAAATGTCAATATCAACTCTTTCAAGAGTCATAATTAAAAGAACTTTCAAAGTAAGGTGGCTTTATTAGTTTCTTGAAGTACTAATTCAGGAACAAATCTCTATGTCGTCTTCATAATTTGGAAGTCAACCAACAAAGAACGGCATGTTAACATGTTTAAACGCATCGCTCATCTTGTTTCAAATTCACTTTTATTAGCAGATATGACCTAAAATATGAAATCATTTAAATAAAGTGTAACGAACTTTTCCAATCTATTTTAATATAAAATAAATATTGTACCATTCTAACAGCTTAAGAAGTGCCCAAATCATAATTTTTATGACCTGGTGCATCTATCGACGCTTATCTGTTCAAATAAGCAAGTCCACATTCTACCGATTCCCTGTAAAAAAATAATAAATGACAATTGGAAATAATAATAAAATATACGATAAATATATTGAATATAAGTAAAATAAATACCTTTGCACGTTATTTCTTATAGTATCAAGCGCCATAATAAATACCATGCCCGTCTTTGTTTTTTAGCTTCATTTTTCGTATTTATCTGATCAAACCGTTGGTGTGAATTCCAGGATTACTCTCAGTGGGTTAATAATAACAGTTATGATGGTGATTGTTCGAGAAAGAAAAAAAAAGTATTACCATTGCTGTCAAAACCTTTTTCATAAAAATGTAAATTAGTATATACAGAAATAAATTGATGACCGTTTCTTTAATGATACTCGCAGGATATTACCGCATATAGTGCATCTAATTACAAATCGAAATAATAATCGTAAACATTCCTCCGGATATAACGATCAAAGAGCAACAAATGGAATTTAAATAACCTATATGTCCGATAAAATACTAAGTTAAAATACTTTTTTTCAAATAAAATTCCGGACTCTGCCTCTTTCGAATTCCCTTTAGTAGTTTCGCTTAAATCTCTTCGAGCATGAATAATGATCTAGACGAATTCATGTCTTTAGAAAATTTTTTCCAAGCTTCAAAATGCTAAAATTACGCGTCAATTTTCTTTGAAGAAGCCACGAAAAATTAGAACTTTTGACATTATTACAGCACACTACTGCTCGACAACAGCGTTGGCCGCATTGTGAAAGGCATACAAAGATTTTTGCTGCTCAATTAGTAGAGCAGCATCTGAATTCTAAAATACGTAAAACATTTGCTGGTAAAGTTTTTGGAGGGTTGGAATGCCTGAGACGGATAAGTCGTGGGCATTACTAACGATCGCTGCTATATGTGCCGACGGTTGAATTGACTTCCAGCATTATAAATTAAAAGATCTTGCATGTTCTGATTTTGGTAATTGGCCACTCTTTCAATTTCTATTTACAGTTAGTTTACTTTCTCAATTATTCGCTTCAAATTTTATCTCGGCACGAGATAGATAAAAAAGGTAATTATGCTTTATTTTAATAAAATTGTTTTTATATAAATATTCATTGAATAAATAAAATTTATAGATCCCGTTTTTTCAGGGATCGATCAAGGAGAGATTATCTCTCCAATTTTGTGGTGTATATATTATGATCCCCTACTTTGTCGCATCCAAAATACCTTGCTTGGTTACAACTTAATGGCAGAATGGCGTCCTAATGTCAATTTTTCAACTAAATCCTCAGTGTCAACCAACATTTCCATACTTGCATATATGGATGATACGCTCTGGATTAGTAAATCCAAAGAAGACTTAGAATCAATCCTTTCTATAGCAGATGATTTCTATTAACTCAACAGTATACTTGTCAATTGGGATAAGTCTGTCCTTCTCACCTCAATTCCTATCGCCTAACTGATATACTTCAAACTCACACATAACGAAGAATGGATTAAATCCTTAGACTTAAAAACGTCTACTCAATATTTAGGCATTTGGATTTCACTACTTCTTAACGCTCTTTTATTCGCCAATAAGTTCACAATGAGGTAACAGCCGCTGCTGCAACTATGAAAAAAAAATATATTACTGATAAACAACTTAAGATTATCTTTAATTCAGTCTTATTACCACGTATCTTATATCATTTACAATTAACTTTTCTTGACTACAAATTTTGTGACAGAATAATAGAAACATACTGGAAGATTTTACGATCAGTCATAAATATGACCAAAAGTACTCCATCAGCCATCATTCACTCCTCGCTATTCTATAACATGACACATTTATTTTCAGCTCAATTTCAAGCGAAAATTGCTAACTTCACAAAAATGATTAATGATAAAGGCCTCTTAGGAAATACTGCGTTAATTCGTAGTTATCAACTCTAAATTAATGAATGGCTAGTTCGATCACCACTTGCTCAATGGTCTATAATGCCTCTTACAAGTTCAAAGACTGGTAGTTTGCATTATTATCAAACTTGAAATCACTCGATATTACAATTACTAATAGTCAAACAAACGATAACGCCATAATTGAAGATCATACACCCCTGATTGATATATATGACCTTATATCCTTTAGAAAACATGCTGACAAATTAAGAAAGAAAAACCTGATGTTTATTGATCAGATAACTACTTCAGATGGATTAGCTCTCTTCACCTTACCTGACCTCAAAT